AGATCAATCGGCCCCCAACAAATCAAAGAAACTAAAATTCACGGTTCAAAAAAGGTTCTTTCTTTAAAGAAAAGGATGGGATAAAGCCTTTTCATTCAGATAGATAAGTAGTCTTCTTTCGATGATGAAATAAGGCGAGGCCCGCCCCAGCAATGGGGTGGGGGAAGGGAGAGTTGGAAGCGGGTTCCCTTCGCTTTATTATTTGTTTAAGATATAGCTTTCGGTGAAATATTGATAGGGCAAAACAAAAACAGTGATAGGGCCGGGGAAAAATGGTAATTGTTTATTTAGTTTTATGTTCTACGAGTGCTCATTAAATCAACTAGCTTTGGAGATTGGAAATGTTTTTAGTAAATTCAGTTATCAATATCCGTTTAGATAGAAAAAGGCTATGGAAATCAAAAAAGCCGTGCTAGCGGAAACTTTTGTTCTTTCGCCGCTGAAAATCGTAGCTTTTGAAAAGGATGACCCCCTTAAGATAAGAACAACTTTTCTTTTGTGTTCGAGTTTCCTGAATTACCAAATCATTATTTTTCAATTTAGGTCGAGCCCGAAGATGAGCTTGTTCTTATGGCTCTCGCTGGTGTCTTAAATTTTTTCATTCTTATTCTGTCTTTCTTGAAAATTCTTTCGCCTATCGAAAGGATAAAAGTATGAGAGACTTTTTTTCGGGACAGTAGTTTTCTGGGGTAACGTAGAGCTGCTTTTACTTTTTGATCTATCTCCTTCTTTGCCTCTACTTTCTCGTTCTCGTCTCTTATCTAAACTTGAATCCGTAGTGAAAGATCCATTTCTTTTGCGATTGATCTCGTCCTTTCTTGAGTTGCCTATCATAGACAAGACGGAAACAGATTGGTCGACGAAAACTGGAATTCCAACTGTGACTTTTCCCACCCCTATTTTATTTCATTTTTTTCTAGATGAGTTGGATAGGGCCTTCGAAGCCCACTTTCTAAACTTTCGATATGCTCGTTATTACCATCAGATCTTTGTTCCTATCTTTTTAGGCAAATCGAAAGAATTTTCTGCCCCAAGATTTATGAATCTATTGAATGAGCTGGGTCTCTTTTGGAAAGTTATGTGCATAGTTCCAGGGGGCTTCCCAATTGACTGCTCCGGGGGTATGATCCTCATGAATAAAGAAGGTGATATCCAATTTATTGAGAAGGACACTTTCTAAGAATATAAATCAATCTAGATTTTGAGTTGCCTTTATTTTGTTTTCGGGAGTGTGTAGATCTGTGAATTTGAAGAAACCTTTTTTCTAGCAACGTGCTGCTAGATAGATTCAAACCAACAAAAAGCGAAAAAATAAAACTCATGCTTTGCCCACCTCAGTAGCTCAGTGGTAGAGCGGTCGGCTGTTAACTGACTGGTCGTAGGTTCAAATCCTACTTGGGGAGCTTCCCTTAACTTTACTACTCGGCGCAAGGATGAAAGGGGAATTGATTCGTAACGCGAATCGCCGGATGTGATTCGATAGATGAATAGGCATTGATCAGGCCATCACTCTGGTCGAAGATTACAATTCCATACAACGAGGGCTTAAGTCTTTGAATGTCCGGTATAGGAAGCATCTCTTTGGTCTTTAGTTATCCAAAGCAGTGGTCCTAAGCATATAAGTCCAAAAAGTCTAACGCATGTCATGCTCATAACTTAGGAAGTAGATTAAACAAATGGGAGAAGGCGTTGGTGACAAAGCTATCTCGTCCGTCAATTTACGATAAATAAGCCTCCCTAGAAGGGAGAGGCAATCCTTCCATCTCCAATCATGTGGGGGATGTCCAGACCAAAGTACCGACCCAAACGTGGTATGGATATAAATAAAGGAAGCTAGCAGCACGTCAGAAAGAAACTTATCTGAATAGCTACCTGCTGAAAGGAATACAGACAANCGCAAACCATCATTTCTATCCATTTTTTCAATAAAGAACTGTGAAATAATGATATGCTCTCATATTTAAATAAAAATATATTTTTAAAATTTTTGATTCTTTAATAATTTACTTGGGACTCGTTTGCACATTTTATTTTTTTTATTTTTTTAATTTAAAATAAATTTAATTGGGACTCGTTTGCACTTTTTGAAAAAATTTGGGAGTATGATTGTAATTAATTATTTAAATTTTTTTTATTTAAAATGTGGGTATATTCGTCATTTCACATATTTTTATTAAGAAATTAGATGAAAATTGATATAAATGATAGTTTGCGCTATCAAATGTATAATTAATGGTGAAAATGCAAACAAATAAATAAAAGGTAGAGACGTTTTTTACAATAATAGTAAAAAGTAGGGACATTATGTGTTAATTACCCCTTTAATAATTTATTTAAGACTCATTTGAGCATTTAAAAAAAAAAAAATTTGGAACTATATTTGCAATTAATTTTTTTCTTTTTTCCTTTTTTTTTTAATTTAAAATGAATGGTATATTCGCCATTTCATAATTTTTAATTGAGAAAATGGATAAAAATGACAATTTGCGCAATAAAAAATGAAAATAGTGGTGAAAATACCAAAAAATGAAAGGGAATGACGTTTTCCACAATAACAGTGAATGGTGGAAACGTTATGTACAAATTACTCAAAACTAATCTATCATGTCACCAAAATACAAAGTTGAGAAATCTTTGTGTTTTGTCACCATGCTAAAATCATTTGAGATACCAAAAACTCACTTAGTCAAATTGATTGTCTCGTCTCTTCTAACTATCAAGTATACTAATTTTGAATATTCAAATCGATTGTTTTTATTTGTGAACTATCGAGTCAACTAATAAAATTTAGGATAAAACTGTTTGTATACCAAGTGTACGTACACTTGTCTCATATGAATAGTGTGCGCGAATATTTTATTGTGTGTGGGACCCCCCTCCATTTAAGGGAAGTGTAAAAGATTGTGTGAATGATTATGTACATGTAGCATCATTGTAAAATTTAAATGGACAAGATCTAATTATTGTAATTTTACTTTTTTTTATTTAAAAAAATAAAATCGTCAAGGTGACATGTTGAGATGTTTACGGGATATGTTTTTACAATTATTGGATGGATCTAGGTGGAATTTTAACATGAACATTTTGTCTAGAAATAAATGTGGAAAAATGGAAGGGAACATTTTTAAAGGTCCCACTCTGGCCTTTTTGTCTGTTACACACTTGAATGCCCGTACAAATCCACCAGTTGGTCCTATTGCCCATAATCGAGTATGTTTGGATGACTTGTATGTTTTCAAAAAATAAAAAAAAAATAATAATAATAAAATAAAAATTCATAGAATTATTAAGTCCATTTTGATGCCCATTATTTTAAAACTCTTTTTACTATAGAATTACTTTCAATCATACATTCACATAATAAAATATTTCGCATAAAGCTCTTGTTTTTTTTTCCTTGAATAATAGGCACTAAACAAGGGCTAAATGTATGGTGCCCAGATTCCGTTTGACTCGATTTGAAAAGTTTATGGTGCAATATAAATGGTGAAACTACATTTAGGAGAATTTTTTTATTCTCGCACACGTATATATTATGTATTTTAGGATTTCATTATTATTATTATTATATTGTTTTCGAAGTAGCTGTCCAAAACGTTCCTTTATTGTACTCATACTTGATTTAGTAGATTTTTNATTTTTATCTCCAACCTTTCATTAATTGACACCATTTCATCCTTGATGATGCTTTTGTCAAAAATATTCTTCTGAATGCTGTGAAATGATGAACAAATATTTTGTTGTATTTTGCATTTAGTCTATGTTTGAACCACATTTTTTAAAATTCATTTTCAAATACACATTATTTCAAAATAATTTTGCAAACTCAAAACTTTTCTTTCTTAGCAGCGTATTCTCCAAAAAAAAAGAAAAAAAAAAAATCACTTTTTACAAAAATGTATTCTTAAAAATGGGCCTCAGGCAAGGGATTATTTTTCTTTTAAAATAAAAAATATTATAGACAAATAAATTGTTTTACGCCCTCTAAACGAATGTTTTGGATGAAAATTGTCATTAGGCAAGAAATGTTCCAATTAATCAAAGATTGAGGACAACCTATCTAACAAAATTTGGGACAGAAGTGTTATAATGGTCAGTTGAGAATCTTATGTTTAATTAAAATATGATGCGAGTAATAAAAAGTGGGGCATGAATATACTTAGCCTATTTTCCCTTTTCTTCACAAGGACAATTTACACGAGAGATGCTTAAAAAAGAGCAATGATACACGTACAGAGGGAAGTGGGGTGGGTTCACTGCTAGGCCACTAATAGAGGGGGGAGGGGGCGTATTTTTTTTTTCAAAACATGTGGGGCCTGCCAGTGTGAGTACCCTAGCAGGCTCGCCCCTGTGGGTTTTGCTCCTGTACTTGGAGCAAAACACCTTAAGAAATGACAATAATTAAATGTGATACTCAAAATTATAAGAGCCTGTTTGGTACAAATTCTGATTTTTTACAGTAAATCAATTCTCATTTTCAACCACACGTTTTTCAATAAAATAATATTTTTCATCACATCAATACTTTTTTCTTCTTTTTTAACCACACATTTCTCATCATATCACAATTCAAAAATCAATCCCGTGTACACTTAGGGGGTGTTTGGTAGTGATTTGAGAATTGATTCTCAAATTAATTCTCATTTTCAACCACACATTTTTTAATAAAATAATATTTTCCATCACATCAATAAATTTTTCTTCTTTTTCAACTACACATTTCTCATCATATCACAATTCAAAAATCAATTATTCCCCCAAAAATCCCTACCAAATACACTCTAAATATTAAAGATTAATGTGATTTTTTAATCGTGATATGACATCTCTTATATTGTCTCCAAAATTTATTTTGTTTTCACGGTCAAATACATATCAAAACAAAATCAAGTATAAAACCAACTTTATTCTACTATAAATAGTTAAATACCATATCAATAAACTATTGAATAAAATTAAAATTAAGTTTGATTCGAAGTGTTCCTTAAATGCACAGGGATTCAAGAAAGAGGAGATCTATGAGGAGCTCCCTTTCTCCTGCTGCTCAAGGAGAGCATAATACCAGGGAGGAACCCGCCTTTCCCCTTCCTTTTCGCTGTTTCTTTTTCCTTGAAGATCGCAGAATTGCCTATGCTGTAGCTAGAGTGAGACGCAACTCTATATTCTTCCAAAATTGGATCGACCTCTAAGAAGGGATTGGGCGTCATTTGAGCGTCGTCTGGGGCATCCATGCATAGGTCCTCGAATTGCGATATTGTGAAATCAGGTTTGTCAAATCTAGACAGAATACTCGATAAATCTTCTCCTTGACAAGTCATGTGATCCACCTGCGTATATATTTATATAATTCGGAATAAGATAATGTAAGCAAAAGAGAAGTTAAAGGGGGCGAGTTTAAGATAAGATAGCGCAAAAACAAAATGGCACTTGAAGAATTAGTAATCGAGTCCCAATTGAGAGCTCTATGAGTCCTAATTGGAAGTTTGGACCTTGCATGAGAGTGAACAGAAGTTAAATGGCTCCTGAAGAATTCTGTCACAGGTGTAACAAGTATTGCCAGAACCCTTGCAAGATCTAGATTGAGCTCTTTGATTCAAGAATATAACTTTTGCACTATTTATTGTGTAGGGCTGCATAAACAAATATAAACTTCTAATTAGTAATGATGCAAGATTTATAAAAAGAATTAGTAGTTTCAAAGGTGAATGCATCTGTTTGTTGATTTGAATTTCTGACAGATGAATGTCATCTGTCAAACTACCTATACAGATAACAGCAGAGCTCTTATAACAATGCCATGAAATTGCTCTTAACAAATTTATGTCGAGTGGTACCTGAATGTAGCAACAGTTGATGAGCTTTTCAAGATCGTCCAATCTAATAACATCTTGATAGACGTACCTCCTTACCTGTATGCCGGTGTGGTATTCAAACTCAAACAAGGTTAATGACATATAATTCGCCAATAAAAAAAATCAATTATCGAGAGGTTAATTTGATCGTGTCTCGATTTCTCAGTCTTTTAGTTTTTATTTATTTAATTTCTATTCTATCATTCAACCGTGGGAGTGTAAATGGTCATTTATGAAATTCAAAATTCTGATATTGGATCTATCATTTAACGTCATTGCACCTTACGTAACTCGCAAATCGAGACATAGTTTAAACTGAGTTTGGAGAAAGATATCAGTACTAATGGGTATTCTGAAAAAGGCAAAATAGAGTAGCAGCTAGCAATTATAACTGTGCTTGAAAGCAACAACTAAAGAACAACCCTTTGCAAAGTAAAATTCATGACTATCAATTCTTCCAAAAATGTCAATAAAAACAAGTCTAGACCTGGTATTCAAACGTCCAATCAGAAAGAGAGCCAGGATTTTCAATATATTAAGAGTTTTCTGCTCCAGAAAGGCTGAATTTTACAAATTACATGAACGCTTAAAAAAAAAAAAAATTAAACAAGGAGATAGATTGAACCTGGAGTAAAGGATGAGAGGTGGAATGAGAAGGAAGACAATGAGGGCAAAAGCTTCGGCAACAATTCAAGCAGAAAATGTTCTTTTCGTTCTTCCTGCGATTCTGATGGATCCCGCACTGCTCGAAGAATTTCTCCCCCATTAGCCCTTTTAGCCATGCAGGCTTCATCGTCATCGACGCCTGTTTTTCTATATCCCAATTACCCTTTTGAGTTGTTCCTTAGCTAGATTCCGATTTAAAAGTCTAAAATACTCCTATTACAAGGGGAAATAAAGCTTCAAAAATATCACCACCCAAGGCCTATTTCACTGTATTTGTAGAGGAGAGATTGGGTTTAAAGGGCGGGAACGTTATGACGACGGCCCACCTTTGTGTACTTTTTCTTTGAGTATGACACTGACAGTGTACAACGGACAGAAATGGTATGATTTATGCCCAATGGGTTCAACCCTATTGCTATAATTAGGATTAAATTAATCATATTTAAGTCAATTTTGTACAATCACCTAAGGGATTGCAACGTCACGGGACATTGCTGTTGGGTTGTTATAATTTTGCTGACCTAAAAATAAAAATATTCATATATTTAAATAAAATTATTTTCATTTCCTTTATTGTATTTATTTAGTGAGCATGTGAATGAAAGTGTTTATGATCACTTGTGATAATATAAGTTGGATACTTGCGTTGAGAAGTATAGTGTGACACAACTTATATTTTGATCATAAATAATTTGTTCACTATCAATGTATAAGGGTTGTCATCTTGTATCGAAATGTTATAGTGTTGTCTGATTCACTATTCAAATTTGTGATTTGTCCTTATAACATGAATAGTTAAAGGTGAGACTAGTACACTTGGAGTGTATTGAACGGATCACATGTCGAGTTAATTTTATAGCACGACCGTGCAGAGAATTAAATTCCATTTGACCGCTGTGTATTTCATCTAAAACCCTTGACATGGTTATGTGTATATTTTCATGATTTTAATAGTTCTTTGATTTATCAATGAGTGACATCAATTTGATTGATTAAATATCTCGATGAGTTGAGAACTTGAGAATGAGCGAAATATAGAACATGAATTCGTGTCGGGAATCGTCGCCTTAAAAAATGGGTAGAGTGACTAATTAAGTATTTTCTATTGAACGGTTAAAATCTGAGCTCAATGTTTAGCGACGACTAAATTTCGACATATGTGATTTGTTCATAGGACCGTTGAAAAAAATTGTACTTTAGTTAGCAAGAATAATTAGAGAGGCAAAATAGTCTTTTATACTCGTACATAATTATCGAATCTCAAACGAGGATAAAATACATATATGGCAGGTCTAAGGAAAATATTACAGATTTATTAGCTTCTACGATCTTATATATTTCAAGAGTTCAATCTTTTGCTTTTAGTGGAAAAAACAATGACTAATAATTAAATTGGGTGGTTTAGAGATTTAATTATTGGAGCTTGGAAAATATATGTCCGATTAGGTCCCTGTGGTAGCTCTATAAAGTAATTGAATTTAATTACAGTAATTATAATAGTTTTTGACTTAATTGCAATTATAATAAAGTTTTGTACTTGTAATTATTATAAACGTTATAAACTTAATTATAATTATAATTGAAGTTCTGGGACTACACATATAATTAAATATAAACTAATTGAATTTAGACTTTAATTAAAACTCCTACTTGGATTTTTATTAAGACTCTGATTTGATATTGTAATTATTATTCTATATGGATTGAAACATCTTTTATCTCTATAAATAGAGATTAGATGGACATAAAAGTCCTACAAGAATCATAATACATAATTTCATAGCGTTCAAATTTAGAGAGAGAGAAATGTGAGAAAAATCTTACTTTCTTATTGTCCAATCCAAGAATTGGTTTCTTGATTTAATTAAAAGAATGTGCCCACTCACCGATGTAGTCTTGACTTTGGAGAATACCATAGAAGACTTTGAGATTTGAAGCATCAAATTCTTGCAATTAGAAGCTAGAAGCTCGTGATCCAAAAAACTGAAAGTTCGTAATTCGGATCCAATTCTGGAATTGATTATCGAATTTAGGTAAAAATTCGAATTCCTAATTCTTGGTATAACATACACGTGAAAGACTAGATGATCTTGTTTATTCAATTAAAGAAAATTTTTAATTTCTGAATAATTCCGCTTCCGCATTCCAACAACCGGTATTAGAGCGATCTAGATCGTTAACGTGTTTGTTATTTATGAATCTTGATTGCATGTTCTAGTCGAGCGATGTCTATGAATATTTGATTATGTGATGATAGAATGATTGAATTATTTTAAACTGTGATCCTATTATTTGTGGCAAGTTCTTGATGTAATTCGTTATTTTGAGTCTGCAACAAGATAGGTGGATTATGATTTCATCTTGATTTAATTTTCTTTTTTGTAAGCCCATGTGACATAGGAATTATGTAATTCTTGTAATTGTTGAATCTTGAAAATTGATTGAAGATTGAAAACATAGAAAACATAACGAAGAAGATCAAGAAATTACTCCAAAAAAAAAAAAAAAATCGGCCTGCGTGGCAGAATTCTGCTTACGTGGTAGAACTCTGCCTATCAAGCAGACTACCTGCATGGCAGAAGTCTGTCTGTGTGGAAGAGCTCTGCTTGTTTACGTAGACTGCCTATGTGGCAGAATTCTGACTGCATGGTAGATTCTGCTTGGGCTGAATTCAAGTTCTTTTTGTAAATTAGGTTGGATTTGGATAAGTCGAATTCAAAATTAATTAATTTTTTTAAGGTACGGTAGCAGAGTCCTATTACTGTTTGGATTGCTGTTGTTTGATTCTTGAATTTTTTTGAACTGAAGATTTAGATTAAATATTGGACTTGGTCCAATTAATTTTTAAATTTAATTCTTGAGTCATTTTTGGGCCACAAATAATTGTTAATTTATTGCTTATGAATGTTTTAAATTATTGTTTGAAATATTATCATTCTTGACATCATGACATACATATTTATTTGTGACATCGCTTGTGATACTATGAATATGATGCATATCATTGAACACTAATTTTTTATTAATTTAATTTAGATTAATTTTTTGGATGGAAAAATCATAATAATTAAACTGCATGTTAATATGATTAATGTAAACAGTTGGTAATTATTCAAAATTAAAACCCATTACTTTAAAAATAATGAGTGGGAGATGGTGATTATTTAAATAAAAACTCATGGTCTCCTTTAGTCAATCCATAAGCAAAGTAACATGTTTGAGTTGCTTGATTAGATTTCTTTATGATAAGATCGTCTAAAGAAAATATAATTTGTATAGATGTCAAAATTATTTTCAAGTATTTAGAGATTGAGACAAAGGTTATACACTCAAATCGGAATTATCTAAGAACCTCCTATAGAGGCTATTGTTTATAATTTTGGTGACCAAATAAAACAATATTAGGCTTAATATAGACATTTGTTGTCAGATATAATTTGTTTAGTGGGAGAGCCTGAGTTTGATCAGTGGACATAGTGACCTTTCCTATAGAGAGGCATGTTGGATCACAAGGATCGAGTTATCATTGCATTATTGTAGTTGGATGTATATACATATGCATTCATACATCATATGCTAAATTATTATTCTTTGCTCAATTTTAATATGCAATAAATGGTTATTTTTTAGCAAAATTTCTCTCAACGCATTTTCTGTTATTCTAAAACAAAACCAACTTGTCGAGGATAATTATGTAAATTGGAAACGTAATTTGATGTTTGTGCTTATTGCCGAAAAACTTGATTTTATGCTTGATGATGAACGACCCGAAGAATCTAATGAGACAACAGGAAAATGCAATAGGGCTGCGTATGATAAGTAGATCGCGGCTTACAAAATGGCTTATTGTTAAATTTTGGTATCAATGTCAAACGTGTTATAGCAAAAGTTTGAAAGTCAGGAGACCTCTTATAATATACGAGAAAGCTTGAAGGGCATTTTTGGACATCAAAGTAGGAGGGCTCGTTTTGAGGCCATTCATACTTTGCAGAACATTCACATGAAACCCAGAACGCTTGTGAAGGATCATATGTTGACTATGCTTGCACACTTCAACGTGGCGGAAGATATGGGTGCAACTATTGATCAGGAAACTTAAGTTGATATTGTATTGAATTCTTTATTTGATATGCTCTCACAGTTTATTTTGGACTATCACTTGCACAAAATGGATATACCATTAATTGAGTTGATAAATGTATTGCAAAATATGGAAAGTGGTCTTAAGGGTAAGAGTGGCCATGCTCATGCGGCAATTGCTAGCTCCTCTAGTTCTAAGCCATAAGGCGGAGTTGGAAAGAAGAGAAAAAGATCTAAAAAGAAGCCAGACAACAATAAAAAGCCCAAATCTGATGGAATGTCGAAAGGCAAGTGTTTCCACTATGGTTGCAAAGGACATTGGAAGAAAGACTGCCCCGATGCACTAACCAAAAAGCAAGGTACTGGTAAGTTTTTTATTGCTAAGTCATGTTAGGTGGTTGATTCTACAAATTCCTGGGTTGTAGACTCTGGAGCTACTAATCATATATGCATGTCTATGCAGGTGCTTCACGAGAGCAGAAGACTCAGTGAAGGCCAATTTAAAATTATCGTTAGCACATGAGCTATAGTTTCAGCAAGAGCAATATGAGTAGTTTACTTTTATTTCAGTAGTGGTAGGCATTTAATTCTTCAAGACTATTATTATGTCCCGCGAATGAAGCGGAATTTGATTTTTGTTTATTGTTCATTAGGACAATGTTATTTTGTAAATTCTGCTCATAATACGCTTTATATTTTAAAGAATAAAGCTTGTATTTGTGTTGGATATTTGACTAATGGTCTTTACATTTAAATTGTGCCACAAATGAAATAAATGTCACTTCTGTAAGCCATAAGCAAATGTCTTACCATACTCGATACATATTTATAGCATCTTATACTTGGACATATTAACTTAATAGGATACAAAGATTGGCTAGAGATGGTCCACTTAACACACTTAAGATCAAACCATTGCTAGTTTGTGAATTTTATTTGGAAGGTAAAATGACCAAGAGATCATTTCTAATTAAAGGACATAGCGTCAAAAAAGTATTAGAACTAGTTCATTCTGATGTGTGTGGACCCATGATTACACCTTCGAGATGGGGG